AGTTAAGAACACTGATTGTTTTTGCAGAGACCCAGGTTCAGATCCCAGCACCCACATGGCAGCTAACAACTGTCCGTAACTCCAGTTCTAGGGGATCTGATGCCCTCTTCTGACCTCTACAGGCATTGCACAACATGAGTGCACTTCCATACATGCAAGCAACACATACACATAAAATAAAAAAACGAATATTTCAAAAAAAAATCCTTTCTGAGAGACGATTCAATTTTCTTAAATATTCTAAAAGTATTTGGGGCTGGAAATATATACTTGGGGATCTAAAATGTATTCTTTTCACCTCATTTACTTTCTGTGCCATGTATCAATTTAAATACCATTATGTGGATACCTTCACATATATCTCATCGCTGTTTATTTGGTCTTATGAGGATGGTGTGTCAATATTTCCACATCTTGGCTATCACTGTATCAATGATATTTTGACACTAAGAATTGATATTGTTACTATCACATTTTATCCACTTTAGCATGTGTCTAAAACTAGCACATTTCATTTAAATTTAATATATTTTGGAAAGAATACACATCACTATTCTATACTTTGATAACTTCTCACAATGTGTTTATGAAGAAACACATCAATAACATCCAGATATGGAATATACCAGTGTGAGAGAAGCTTCTATGGGAAATTTGGAGTTGGACTAATGAAAGTCTGTTTAGAAGCACTTCCTGTGCCTGGGTACAACTGCTGCATGCCTGGACCCGTCAGTCAACTACAGTGAGTGATTTAGGAGGGGCACTTGGATTGGATTCTGAAAATGAGATCTGTTCCCTGAGGAAAATTGTTCCCTTTCACACTGGACATAGACAAGAGAGAACCCATCTCTAAGAGTCATCCACGCCCTCACTGCTGCAGGAGGAGAGAGCTCTCCCCAAAAGACCCTCCTCCTGGAAATCAGAGGTGAGAAATGCAGAAGGAGAACCTTGGTGTTGCACTAAATTTTCTTCCCTTTTCTTTCTCATTCTGGGGAGGCTTGGTGTGCACTCCCTCCCACGGCCCCAAGGCCCACAGACTAACATAAGACATTTTTAATTTGGGTTTCCTTTATGGTAGGGAGTGAGGAGGTGACTTACAAAGAAGCCTTGCATTGCTGGGCTGCCATTCGTTCGAATGCTTCTGAGCCCCGCCCACAGTCTCTGTTAGCTTTCACAGGGCCCTGTGATCTTGCCCCAGCTCTGTAAATGCCCCATCATGCTTCCACACTTGCAGGACCACTGGGCTCACACACTTCTTTTTCCCATTCCAAACTCCCCCCAAGCTAACTCTGCAATTAACTCTCCACAGCAGCCCCGCCCTTTTTCCCAGGGTGCCCTGCACTCACCCTAGCTCACCTAGGAACAAGTGTTTTCTGGGCTACAGTTGGAGAGGCTGATTATCTGTGCTCTGGACAAAGCCACGTCTTGAGATCCATGGAACCCTGAGCTCTCCTGGGGCAGCATGAATGGCCTGTCCCTGTTCTAGCCAGGATAGACTGAATCCTGAATGTCTTCTGCACATATATGTCCTGCAAGATGAATATGAATACATACTTTCAGAGAAAATGATTGAAGCAGAATTCAGCTCCAAGTCACTCAAGTCAGTCAGATGTTTTGTCTCTCCAGAATCTCCTTGTATGAGGCTAAATGTGATAATAGCTCTTTCTCAAAATTTTCAGGAATTACACTTTCCCTATAGAAAAATAGTTCTACGCATGGGGACGGGCACATTATCTACTCATAGTCTTATATTTACCTGCTTGTTTCCGGTTATTGCACAACCTTTTCATCCTGTCCAATTAAACCCTCTAGATCACACTCTCACCCCCACCACCCCCTTCCTTTCCTGTTAATAATATCCATTCAGTCTCTGATGACCAACTCCTACTGGAGATGTCATGGTGGAATCAAATCCCTCCTGTAAGAGGCGTTTATTCCCCATGAGCATAGGCAGGAGTGATGCTCCAAGCTTGCTCTCTTGAGCTTTCTGACTTGAGGTGCTAAATCATGGCCTCTTGAGTCATCATATTGAATAGAGGTCTTTGTACAGTGATTCCAGGTTCTTCAGGGAGGGATTCTCTAAGGCACACGACTCCATGTCATACAATGTTATAAAACTGATGCACTTAATCACTAAATCTTATTTATAAGTAATCATAGAGCCAGAATCATAGAGACAGAGCCACTGGTAAGGAAGTGCGTCCTCTCCTGGTGCTGTGTGCCTGTTAGTGATGTTTTCCTTCATGGTTCACCTCAGCATGGCTGGAATGCTGTGGACATGCTACTTCAGATCTCAGGGGTTTGAAGTAGTAGATCTTTTGATTAGATGTCTGTTAATTCCTTCCAGATTACTTCAGTGAATAGAGCAGACCATACTTTCAGGCGTAAGTACTTTGCATGTACTAATCATCAATCCTAGAAGCTTCTGCCCAGGGCACTTGTTCAGTAGGTGAAACTCATTCTC